CTGGGAGTTGAAGTCCACTCATCTTAAAGTGGCCAAGTTTGGACAACACTGCTCTAGATAATGTAACAATTGAGATGTGGATTAACAAGGCTTCTTCAGTTACCACATTAGAGAAGAAAATCACAAAGTTAAAATGATGGGACGTCAGAGGCAGGAACCACAAGTTTATCAAATTTGGATGCATTTTATGGTTTACTCAATAGCAATAAACTATAATATGGTATACTTTACATATATGGTAAATTTGTACATGTAGAGTATCTGTCTATTTACATTGTAGCAGATTTTTTTAAAATATTTTCTTTTTCCCCCCCCTCTATGCATCTTGGATTTAATGCAGTTACCTGATATTGTTTGTTACAGTTCAGTAAAAACAATATCGGCAACTAACTTCACTAGCTGCTGGGTTTATACAAACTGACCACCCCAATCGTGACTTACATTGCTGTGGGTCCAGACTCTGTTCCCTCCCCTCTTTCTAGGTTTATTGGCATTCAAGTGCCCATATTCTTGGTGAAGCCATGGAAAATTATTACGGGGGATATTTATGTTATGGACCTCCCATTGAGAACGGCTTCTATTACGACATGTACATGGAAAACAGGTATGTTCCGACAGCCAGGGTGGACTGGTTGGAATCTTGCTGTATAAAATGTTAAGTTAAATAGAACAAAATATTTATATGTTGCTTTTTCAACGTCCAGTGTCTGTCAATAATCAAGGATGTTCTGGCTAAATTATGAATAAATGCTTGTAACGGTTGCCAGTGTGATAGAAATGTTTTATGATAAACCACTGAGATTATTAATAGCTGCAAGGGTGGCTTTTTTTTATAATGTATTTTTGCATGTATTACCTGCAATACATAGGAATAATTTAAAAACCTTTTAGCAGTTAGTACGACCTCATCTGGGAGAAGGGAAGAGATTTACAATTCACTTTTTGGGTGAAGATGATCACAGCTTCGTTTTGCTGGCATGCAGCTGGATCAATGATTTTAAGATCTTCTTTTCTCCAGAGGGGTATCAAGTATGGAATTTCTTACTCTGGAGAACATTTGCAAAAGCATCATAAAGGAGAAGCAGCCCTTTGAAAGGCTAGAAGTCAGGAAAGAAGATTTGTTGGAGATGTTTAAAGTAAGTTCTGCATTTCTGAAGACATGAAATTAACCAAGTGAAGATCTGAGAAATAAGCTTCAAATCTTTCTGGGTCGTTTTGTAGCTTATAAATCTCTCGTACCAGTTTAGGCTCTTTGGAATTCATGGATGACATAATTAGGCTCAGCTCAATTGAAAGATTCTTGAAGTGGTTAGTTAGACGCCACTGAATGAGGTGTGATTCCTGATGATTGTGGGCAAGTCCTGTTATTTAATAGTAACTTCTCCAAAAAGATTCCTGGAATCTCTGGGAGCAGGAAATTATCCTCTTGGAGATCCTGTGAGCTGCTAGGAGAATTGACACCATCTTTCCCAGTTGGCATCCTCTAAATATCCTGGAATTATAGCTCGCAGAATTCCCAACCCACATGGGCAGAGGTCCAAGTGTGAAGCCATCAGGAGTAGACAGTAGAGGCCAAGAAAGGCTAATTCTTGACATATTTGTTCTTGCCTGTTTCTTCATTTTTTTTGTGTAGTATAACAAGTTTAAATGTCGGATCCTGAATGAGAAAATCCACACGCCGACAACAACTGTTTACAGGTAACCATATGGATTTGATATTGTGTGTTAAAATAATAGCCCCTCTTCTCTTAGCTAGGGAGAAGCAGCATGTGAAATAAATATTGGTTACGTTCACGTCATAATTTGATGTTACTGTGGAAGTTTAAAGCACTTTCAGTATAACTGAAAGTGCTTTAATATTCTAAAATAAAGGTTAGCTAAGGGCAGCTCAAGCATGATGGGATATGAGGTGAGAATAACAGGAATCCTGCCTACAGATGCAATTTCATGTAATATTTTTGTTTCAGAGAACAAAGATAAGGGTAAGGATTGCTTGATTATAAGAGAGTGCTGGTATTTTGAAATGATGTTATACCCGAGAGACAGGAGTGAATTTTAAGGTGAAAGCTACAAGGATGAAATATACATGCATCCTGAACTGTGGCTTGGTTGTTACGCAATTGGTGCCACAAACTCATGCTTGACCTGCCCAAAGCTTCATTGTAAATGTTAAGAATGACAGAAACTTGGAATGGATCATAATGACATGGTGGGAAACCAAGTTTGGTAGACGAAGTGGTTAATAACCTGAACGTAATTAACTGTTTCACTGGTAATCTCATAGGTGTGGTCCCTTGATTGACTTATGCAAAGGCCCTCATGTGAGACACACTGGGAAAATAAAGGCCTTAAAGATCATTAAGGTAAGGGTGTCTGTTGTTGTTGTTGAACAGGAATTGCACAGTCAGGGTAAACTTCCAGACTCAGTTCAAAACTGGTTTTAACCCATAGAGCTGTACAAAGCACAGCCCCATGTTACCTTAGGAGACATCTCCTCCAAGTAGATTCTGCCCGGCCTGGGCCCTTGTTGGACCTACAGGCAGAACTTCTCTTGGTGGACTCAAAATCTTGTTCCTTCCAGACTCATTGGCTGTTGGTTTTCTTTAAGGCAGTTAAACCAATCTTGTTCAGGTGAGCTTTGGAGTTCTTAGTGGTGGCATTTGGCTGCCATTCTTGTGTGAGATCTTATCTTGTTGACTCAGGTCTTGTTGCATTTGTCTGTAACTTGCTCAGAATTTTGGGAGGGAGGAAGTATATATAGAAGTAAATGGGTTAGTAAAGAGTAATGGTGGAGGGTGATGGAGTTTGAAGAACAAAGATTACGAGCAGTAATATATTCCATTGGGTTTATTCTTGGTTGGTTGGTTTCCCTGTTACTTCACTTTGTATGATCACCTCATGAATGACTCTGGGCAGCTTACGAAACCAATTATAGACAATATATAAACAGTGCATATCAGAAACAAAGAGTATGTGCAGAAGGCTTCAGATGATCAGGCAGCATAGTGGTGCATTTATTTCTTGAACTCTAAATCATCTCTTTCCCGTGTGTGTGTGTGTGTGTGTCCAATGTTTTGCATATTAGAACTCATCCACCTATTGGGAGGGAAAAGCCAACATGGAAACCTTGCAACGAATTTATGGAATCTCTTTCCCGGAGGCCAAAATGATGAAAGAGTGGGAGAAGTTCCAGGAGGAAGCCAAAAACCGGGATCACAGGAAAATCGGCAAGGTGGGCTTTTCCCTTTGGTTGAGGGGTAAATGCAAAATGGAGTTTTTGATGTGGCCTGGAAAACATCCAGATTTATTGTGGCCTTTGTGGAATGGCCTAGTGATCTGTCACAAATCTGGGATGTTATTTTGAAGCCTATACAAGAAAGCTTGGGGGCCTGCTGTGTTCTGTTGCTGCGTTTGAGTATTGCACAACTTCATCCCAGGAAGGTTGACTGTTCTTTCCTTTTTTTAACTTTGGGTGACTGTTTGTACAGGAACAAGAGCTCTTCTTCTTCCACGATCTGAGCCCTGGAAATTGTTTCTTTCTTCCCCGTGGAGCTTTTGTTTACAATACACTCATGGATTTCATCAAAGTAAGTGAACCAATAGAGCAGTGTTTCTCAATCGTGGCCACTTGAAGATGTGTGGACTTCAACTCCCAGAATTCCCCAGCCAGCTTTAGACAGGGAAGTCTGTAGGTGGCCACAAAGCTGATTGGAAGAACTATACCCAATGTAGCCGGACTCACACATGGCATTTCGCTGTATAGTAACGTGGTTTGGCTGGTTTGGGCTTAGCGCCATGAGTGGTTCCAGCCATTTTGGCTTTAAGGTCCAGCTTAGTCTTCTGGGTGAATCAAGCCAACTTGACCTATTCAACCAACCAAGGCAGCGGGTGATGTGTGAATGAAGTTATATTTCAGCTCAGCCTCTTTCAGAAGAGTTACTGTTGAAGATTAAGTTGATTGTAGAGTAATGGGGGAAGGAACCAGGTATTCCATTCTAAATGCTTTGATAGAGGTTGGAATAAAAGCACATCCCATTTCCAGTTTCCCAAAAGTATATGGTTGTGTACAGAAATTAAGCGTGTATAAATGTTAGTTTTTCTGATCCAGTATTTCTTGGTCCAATTTGGTCCTTCTGATCTGCAACTCTAGTATAAAACAGATGAACTTTGAAGGATCTCAGAGTTCAAAGAGCAAATGTAGCCACTGTGTTTGAAGGATAGATTTTGCCTACCACCTATTCAAGGAATGACTTACCTTGTACAGGAAGAGTATCAGCGGCGGAATTTCACAGAAGTCATTTCACCCAATATCTACAACAGCAAAGTTTGGGAAACCTCAGGCCACTGGCAGCATTACAGCGAAAACATGTTCTCTTTTGAGGTGGAAAAAGAAATCTTTGCCCTGAAGCCCATGAACTGCCCTGGACACTGGTGAGGGTTTCTGTCTCTATTTCCCCCAACATGTTGAGGAACTAGGCACCTAAAATGTGACCCATGGGTTCCTACCACTGATTACATGCTGAAATCCTACTGGGAAAAAGAGCACGGGGATCTCCATAACATGAGCTGAGCATTGTCACTTGATCTAACAAACATCTCCCCATCTCTCCCAGCCTGATGTTTGCTCATCGTCCTCGGTCTTGGAGGGAGATGCCGCTAAGACTTGCTGATTTTGGCGTGCTTCACCGTAATGAACTTTCGGGGACCCTGAGTGGTCTGACGCGGGTTCGACGCTTCCAACAAGATGACGCTCACCTCTTCTGCACGATGGAGCAGGTAGGAAGCCTCGGTTGGGCTCACCACAGGGAAGAGGACCAAGTAAGGGAGACTGCTTTTAGGAAGATGTCTCCTTTTGCTTTTTTCAGTTCCTACAGATAGGTTGACGAGCCTCTTCAATTTCAGATTGAAGAGGAGATGAAAGGATGCCTCTGTTTCTTGCAGTCCGTCTACGCTGTTTTTGGTTTTACCTTCCAGCTGCATCTTTCCACAAGACCCAACCACTTCCTAGGAGAGAAGGAGATCTGGGATCAGGCAGAGAAGGTAATCTTGACAGTGGGTGAATGCTAGGGTGTAGTGTTGATGGGGTTTGAAACATGATTCTTGTCGTTTGCACTTAGCAACTCCAGAACAGCTTGGATGACTTTGGTGAGCCCTGGAAGCTCAATCCGGGGGATGGAGCATTTTACGGCCCCAAGGTTAGTGGGCGACTCGTGTTCTGATTTAAATCTTACCCCTGGAGCATAGAGGTGAACTCCATTCTGTAATCTTGTCCTTGGCAGATTGATATTACAATCAAAGATGCTATTGGCCGATACCACCAGTGTGCTACGATCCAGCTTGACTTCCAGCTACCCATTCGATTTAATCTTACTTACGTTGGGTAAGTTTGCCAAAGAATCACTGAACACTGGAGACCCTATTCATATGCCACCAAAGAAGAGCTGAGGAATCAGGAGGTTGCAAATGGGTTTAGAGCCTGGGATTTCTCTGATAAAACTTCAGAAATGTTAAGAGACTAAAAGACTAAAATAGCAATCCCCAGGTTAAGAGCACCAGTTTACAGACAACCCATAGTTAAGAACGGAGCCTATTATAGCAAAATTCGAGTGAAATACACAATGGTTTGAGTTCATTACACAGTACTACTTATACAGTATTATACAATGATACTGTTCCAACTTATGTACAAATTTGACTTAAGGACAGACCTTGGGAATGGAACTTGGTCTTAAACTGGGGACTACCTGTAAATACCAATGCACCAGAGTAAAGATGGTGGCAACTAGGTGAGAAGTCGTCAAAACAGGTCAGATACAGGTCACCTGATCTGTACTCATCTATGCGGTTCCTGAATATCCTTGGGTCCAAATGGGTTGCAACAAGGATTGGAGAACCCCTACAGATGTTTGAGGTGGAGTAAGAAAGGAGCGGAGGAAGGAAGGAACGATGGGATTCTGCATTGGGCAAAGAAGAAGGACGAAAGGAGCAGTGGGAGCTTCAGTCCCCTGACGAAGACATTTGATGAAAACTCTCTTACAAGCTCTCTAAATGAGCGGGAGCTGACTGGAACTGGCCTGGCAGAAACTGATTGAACCCAAGTGAAAGGGGGACAAAACCAAGTGGAAGTCAAGTGTTTTCATTTGTTTTTCTTTTCAGAAAAGATGGCAACGACAAGAAAAGGCCCATAATCATCCACAGAGCAATTTTGGGCTCAGTGGAGCGAATGATTGCTATTCTGGCAGAAAACTACGGCGGAAAATGGTGCGCAGCTGACCTTGCCGTTTTGAAAGGGCAGAAGGCTTCTTATAGGTGTCATGGCAACGTTTAAGAACGGTTAACCTCGACCATTTCTTTTCTCGTTCAGGCCTTTCTGGCTCTCCCCTCGACAAGTCATGGTGGTCCCCGTTGGCCCCACCTGTGAAGAATACGCCCGGCAGGTAAGAGTAGAAATATCCTTAGAAAGGAAGAGCAGGGAATTCATAGCTTTGCAGTTGGCTGCAAATGGGAAAAGTGCACCGTCTTCATGCTTCAGATACATTTCAGTTTAATTAAACGGAGATGCTTCAGTTGATTTTTTAATCTCTTTTTTGTATTGTACACACTTGTTTGGCAAAGCCATTAGGCTAAAAACAAACCCATTTCTTCAAGTTCAGGTCTGCAGTGACACCTCTGAAGCTGGATTTATGGCTGACGTTGATCTGGATCAGAGCTGCACGTTAAATAAGAAGATAAGAAATGCACAGCTGGCCCAGTATAATTTCATTTTCGGTATCTATGATCCGCTTTTAAAACTATCTTGGCTTTCCCTTTGTCCAAGTGTGAAAGCAGGTTCCTTCAGTGTGGGCCTTCTTCAGATGCTTTGGGTCTACTAATTTAGAACTGTAGAATTCCTAGCTCATTTGAATGGCCGAGAATAACCTTATAGGGTAGAGGGTCATGTAGCGTAAGAGAGGTTGTGTGGTAAATCTCATTCCCGCTATGTAAGAGCCTCTTTGTTAGGTTGTGGAAAAAGAGATGCCATTAATGATTTTTGCAACTATAATTGAGGAACTCCAAATTCAGCTTTGTATAATTACTTAATCACTTGCTTTCCTTACAGGACAGTTCTTTGAAATACTCTTACAGTGTGATCTTCTAAATCCTACTCAGTACCATCCCTGTTTCATATACAGGTAGTCCACGCTTAACGACCGTTCGTTTAATGATGGTTCAGAGTTACAACGGCCCTGGAAAAAGTGCTTTATGACCTGTACTCTCATTTACAACTATCACAAATTGTTGCACCATCCCCCATGGTCACATGATCATGATTTGTGACTTTTTTACAACGGTCGTTAAGCAAATTCCGGCAAAAAAGTCCATTGGGGAAGCTGGATTTGCTTAACGACCATGGTTATTTGCTTAACGACCGTTGTAAAAAACGTGGTAAAATCCGCTCTGGTCATTGACAATTCGCTTAACAACCAAATCGCTTAGTGACCTAAATTCTGGTCCCTATTGTGGTTGGATAGTGAGGACTACCTGTAACAGCATTTCCAAAAAAGTAAATGTCCTGTGAGGCATCATCACAACAGTGTTGTTTCCTTGCAGTGGTTGGAGAGAAGGAAAAAGCAGGCAATGCTGTCAACGTGCGAACCAGGGACAACAAAGTTCACGGAGAAGTTTTGGTGTCTTTTGCCATTGAGAAACTAAGGAAGTTGAAAGCGTCACGTACTTTACACGCGGAAGAAGAATTCTAGTCGTCCCCACAAAAAATGAAGAATACTGGCCGTGTCCTGAATGAATGTGGTTACTTGGAGCTAAGTCTCACTGAATTTGGTGACCTTTACTTTCAGGAAGTGCGCTTGGAATTGCAACCTTGGATTATTGCCCTTGCCTGACGCTGCAGTATTTCCTGACGCTGAAGTGTATCGGGGACGCCAGTTCTCTTGAAGTGTGAAAAATTGAAACTGCTTTTAGATTCTCTTGACTGTTTGCATGCCTGTTTCTCAAAAGGAAAACAGAGTCCCACAGAAAATGGCTTGTGTCTCATGTAGCACAAGAGTTTCCTTTTGTGAATATTTATAAGTGTGGTTGCTGCTACTGATTGGTGGGGGGACAGAATACCCCCTCCCTCCATGAACACTTAGAAATATTTAGACTCTGAGCTGCCTTCTTTATAGGCAACTTAGCTAAATCATGTTAGTTTCCCTCATCATATGTTCTAAGTAGAAACAAGATCTTAGAATGAAAGCCAGTTTGGTGTAGTGGTTAAGCATTGGGCTAGAAACCGGGAGACCCTGAGTTCTAGTTCCGCCTTAGCATGAAGCCAGCTGGGTGACCTTGAGCCAGTCAATTTCCCTCAGCCCTAGGAAGGAGGCAATGGCAAACCACTTCTGAAATCTCACCAAGAAAACTGCTAGGACTTGTCCCGGCAGTCGCCAGGAGTCAACACTGACTTGA